CAAACACTTGCCGTTTTCAGAATTTTGGGTTTAAAGTTGCAGATCAGGGGCTGGGGCGCCTAGGCTCCCCACAGTTACTGAGGGCGCCAGGCATAAGCCACCAGGTGGTTTCAACTCATGGAACCGTCTCAGTGAGCCCATGACACACGAGCTTTTGCAGATGGGGAAACTGAGGCTTCGAAAGGTTGAATAATAAATGGCCCAAGTCACACAGACAGTCCATAATAAATCAGGGGTAAGACTCAGGTCTGTGGGAGCCTGGAGCCTTGCTCTAACCTCGCAAACACTTGCCGTTTTCAGAATTTTGGGTTTAAAGTTGCAGATCAGGGGCTGGGGCGCCTAGGCTCCCCACAGTTACTGAGGGCGCCAGGCATAAGCCACCAGGTGGTTTCAACTCATGGAACCGTCTCAGTGAGCCCATGACACACGAGCTTTTGCAGATGGGGAAACTGAGGCTTCGAAAGGTTGAATAATAAATGGCCCAAGTCACACAGACAGTCCATAATAAATCAGGGGTAAGACTCAGGTCTGTGGGAGCCTGGAGCCTTGCTCTAACCTCGGGGCTCTACTGCCTAACCCTAGCCACACGGGCTGGAGCCCCAGCTCCTGGTTCCTAACCCGGGCCCTTTCTCTACCTCCCAAGTTTGCAGCAGCAGAAATACCCTCAGAGCAGGCTTGGCCTGTGGCCAGCTCAGACTGGGGGGGATGTTGGAGGGTGGGTGGGCCAGGGGAGGTGGGGCCAGGGTGCTGAAGCTAGCTGCCCTCTCTCCGCAGTACTTCACCTACAGCGTGCTGCTCAGCCTGCTGGCCTGCTCCGTGTTCCTGCAGATCAGCTGCATCGGGAAGCTGGTGCTCATGCTGGCCATTGAGCTCACATACGTGCTCATCGTCGAGGTGCCCCGCGTCACACTCTTTGACAATGCTGACCTGCTGGTCACCGCCAATGCCATGTAGGTGGCACCCCGCCCCCATGCCTGGCTGGGTCTGGAGCATTGCAGAGAGGCCGGAAGAGTGGGTGGCTGGGAGCTTGGGGTGCAGGGGCCTTGCAAGGGCAGTGTTCTGTTCCTCCGCAGCTGACCGCCTGGGCAAAGCACCTCAGTGTCTTGTTTCCCTCCTTCCCTTCCCCAGTATGGGGGGTGGCCCCAGGGTGACTGGGTCCTGCTGTCCTTCTGCTTCCAGTTTGCTACTCAGTCCTGCCCTCAAGACTCAGTGAATTGTTCCTCATTTGTTCAGGGCAGCCTCTGATGAGCTGTTTTCACTTAACTCCGTCAGCCTATGGCACCTCAGGCCCAGGGAGGGGTCAAGATTCGACAGAGCTGAATAGCAAGGTCTGTGGGAGCAGAAAAACAGTCTTTGTTGTTCTTGGGCTCTGTGTCCTGCCTCGAGCTAGGCACTGGGACATGCATTATCCCTTTTCATCCTCATAGCAACCCAGCCAAGTAGACAGGGCTTCCATGGATGGGTTGGGTAATTTGTGCACTGCTCAAAGGCTCCTAGTTATGACGGTGAGTCATTAGGTCTCACATCTAGGTAGCAGGCTTGAGAGTTGTAACCCAGGCTGTCTAGCTCCCAGTAAAATGGAAATCATATCCATAGTAGTAAAATGTTCATTAAGTGCCTGATGTCAATACGCTTCTGTTCCCATCACCCCAGTACACACACACACACACACACACACACACACCAGGAAGTGCAAAAAATTTTCTGTGTCCCCTGAGAAAATGCAGCCAACTGTGTTTTCTCCAAGTTATAGGAAGGGATCCATTCATCCTTCTATCCATTCATCCAAAGCTATTTATTGAGGGCCTCCCGTATTCCAGGCACTGAGCCAGTGGCAGAACATTCATGGATGAAACAGGCTATAACTCCAGTGTCAGAAATGTCACTTTCTAGTGAAGAGAGTGTCACCTGAGCAAAGGAAGGTATAATGAAGGGTCTAAGATCCAAGGACGCTCTTCTCAGTGGCGTGTGGAGCTGTGGGCAGCCAGCCAGGAGACACAGTAGCTCCAGGAACGGGGCAGCCCGCGGTCCTGTGAGGACCGGGGGAGGGAGGAGGTCCAGGCTTTTCTACTCTCCAATCAGGGTAGGAGCTGGAAGTTTGGCCTCCTCTTTCTTATGTGCTCCTTCCCCCACCCCTAGCCTCTCCTCTCCTCCTGCTGGAGCAATAGCAGAGAGCAGAGAGGTCCTTTCTGGTTTGGGAGACACTGGCTTGGCTCTAGGGCAGCTCTGCCCAATAGATTAATCATGCAAGCCACGTACATCATTTAAAATTTTCTAGTTGCTCTATTAAAAAAGCAAAACATGCAATTTTAATCTTTGTATTTGACCAATATATTCAAAATATTATTTTAATACATAGTCAATATAACATTATGAATGAAACTTACTACATTTTTTCCCACACTAATTCTTCAAAACCTAGTAGCTCTTTTACACTTCCAGAACATTGTAACTTTAGCCACGTGGGAAGGCTCAAGAGCCACATGTGGCTGTGGTAGCCACACCGGACAGCACAGGGTCATGTCTCTCTTCCTCTGGATGCGGCAAAGTGCTGGGGTGGGAGGTGGGCTGACTTCTGCCCAGGTCGATGTGCTGGGGGGCCCCAAGTAAGGGCTGGCGATTTGTGGTCATGGTGACCAGATACTGGCTGGGGCTGGGCTTTCGGCAAGACTCCCATCCTGAAAGTATCCTTGGATCCAGAGAAGTGCTGGGGGTGGGGGACGAAAGAGCAACAGTAGTAGCAGTGGGCATGGGGTAGCAGAGCTAGGAGTGGGGACATGGCAGTGTGAGGGGGGCCAAGCAGGGTAGGGGAGCACAGTGAGCGTGGAGACTGCCGATGCAGAAGAGCAGCCCCAAACGGCCCTCCCCACTTCCTGTTCACAGAGACTTCAACAACAACAACGGGACCTCCCAGTGGTGAGTGGATCTGCTCCTCCAAGTTCCATACAGCTCCTCCCTGTCCTTGGTGCCGAGCAGCTAGAGTCCAACTGCCCAGGGCCCAGGAGAGAAGGCAGTGGTGCCCCGTGGGGAGGGGACCTTGGCGGCAAGGTGGGCAGTGAAGGAGGAGGCTGGAGGGGGCCAGGAAACCCTTTCCTCACCGGATACCAAGGGGGCCTCCCTGGGTAGATGTGCTTCTTGGATGATTCCCACCACCCCAAGGTGGTCTGCAGACTCAGTAGCTGGGTCATCTGGACCCACAGACCATCCCACATTCCATCAAGCTCTTCCCCAGGAGCATGTGTGAGATCCCAGGCACAAGAGAACGGGAGCTGGTGACCTCACCCCCCGGCCCCTGCCCCCGCTCCCGCTCTGGAAGACAGGAGCCAAGGCAAGGCCTGTGGGGTTTGTAGGGTAAGCCCTGCCCTGGGGCGGCTGCTGGGTAGGGAGTCTGCAGCATTCAAGGTTTGGGCTCTTTGCTGGGACAGGGAGCAGGGTTTGGGAGAGCTGCTTGGTTTTGTGTGGGGGTTTTTGTTTGTTTGGGGTGTTTTTGAGAGAGAGCATGTGCACATGCATGTGGGAGGGGAGGGGCAGGGGGAGAGGGAGAGAGAGAGTCTTAAGCAGAGACTCCACACCCAGCATGGAGCCTGTCGCCAGGCTCAGTCTCACCACCCTGAGACCAAGACCTAAGCTGAAATCAAGTCAGCCATTTGACTGAGCCAGCCTGGTGCCCTGGGATAGCTGCTTTTATTAAGAGTACTTACTAATAATATTAGCAGGAATGTAATTAGCCATTATTAGCTACCAGTTTTGGAGTTCCTACTGTTTGTCAGGTGCTGCGCAAGGAATTTTTTATGCAGTATCTTTAATTCTTAGATGTGGGTGTCGTTATCCCATTTTACAGATTAGGAAACTAAGGTTCAGAGAGGTTAAGAGACTTGCCCAGAGCTGGTCAGCATGGCCTGCTTGGCTCCCTTGTTACTGTGCCCACGGGCCTTATCTTATCCACTGGGTGAGACCAGGGATGTACATACTGCCTTTTACCAGGGCCTCACTGATCCCCTCATGTGACCAGAGAAGGTTCCCGGGCGGGGGGGGGGGGGGGGGCATCAGGAAAGGAGTCACGACTGCTGAGCTGCTGGTGGGAGCAGGGGCTGAGATGGGGCTGCCAGCCAAGAAGGCTTCCTGGAAGAGGCCCTACGTCAGGAAAAACTTGAGCAGGAGGGTGAGGAGAAGGGGGCATAGTGGGAGGAAGAGAAAAGCAGGGGCCTTGGAGCCCACCATGAAGCGCCGGGCCATCTCCCTCGGCCTGCAGCCCCGAGCATGCGACCAAGGTGGCGCTGAAGGTGGTGACGCCCATCATCATCTCGGTGTTCGTGCTGGCCCTGTACCTGCATGCCCAGCAAGTGGAGTCCACTGCCCGCCTGGACTTCCTCTGGAAACTGCAGGTGGGTGACCTGGGGCTGGGCTGGGGAAGCATCCACACCTCACAGCACTTTGTGAGTGAACGGGCTCATCACTTGGGCTGGTTGGGCCTTAGCTCTGCACTGCTGGGGTGTCCTGCTGAGGCCTCACCACCCCCCCAACTAGTGCCCCAGGTCCCAGCAGCTCTGCTCCCTTCTTTCAGGAGCCCAGGGGCAGAACCCCAGAGCTTATTCCAAACACACCTCCCTTGGTAGTGCTGGGAATTGGATGGGTCACAAATCCTGAGCAGACCCTACTGTGTGCATCCAGGGGCAGGGACAGGGCATGGCCAGCTCCAGTCTGTGGTGTGGGCAGCAAGGTCTCAGGAGTGGGTAGGAAGGAGTAGCAAGAGGTGAGTATGGGGAGGCTGCTGAGCAGGGCTTGACGTGACCAGAACTGGCTTGAAGGCCCTTCCAGGGGAGAATGGATGGAAGGGGCATCAAAGACCATCGATAGGAAGCTGTGCCCTTGCCCTGGAGAGAGGTGGCCCAGGCAGGGACAGAGGCAGTGGGGTACTAGGTGTCCCGCATTCCACCCTCCCGGCTTTGTGCCTGCGCCCTGATGGTGTCCACGTGCAGGAGGGGATGCCAATGGGCCACATGCAGGATAAGGCTCCAGGTGCTCGCAGGAGACCCAGTTGCTGTCGTCACCTGCTAGGTGGCCTCAGAAGTTCCAGGGAGGGCGCCCAAGGGCATTCATGGTGAGAAAGCCATCTTCCCCTTGGGCAGCCTCAGACCTGTTATCCCAGCCCAGTCTCTGCCTCCCCTGGCCTGGCCTCCATTTCTAGACTCCTTCTCCGGCTCACCTGCAAACCACTTAGGCTTCCTCATCCTCAGCTTCTTACTAACGCTGAGACTCAAGTCTTCAGGCTGTAGCAGGAGGTCCCGAGTTTTTGTTAAAGATGGGGAATCCAGTTGCCCCTGCTGCTGGATGTGTTGCACGAGGTTGGCTAAGGTCCCTGCTGAACGGATGCCCTGAGGTTGGAGGGAACCTGTTTTGCATGTGGCATGCCCCTGGGCAGCCCTGTGTTGGGAGGGACCTGGGACACCTCCAGGGTGAGGCTCTGCCTTCTTGGCTCACATTGCTGCCTCCCTGCCTTCTTTTGGCTCCCAGCCCTCTCCTTCGGGGAATCTCCCCGGAGGTTCCAGCTCTCTCCTAGAGGCTGACGAGACTCCAGGGTACCTAGGGCTGATGTCCGTCCACTTCTCTGCGCACACACACACCCAACCTCCTGCATGAGCCCCAAGGAAGTCCCCCACCCCCAAGATGGTTGCTATTGTGCAGCTCAGTTGTGCTGTAGAGACCTCGAGAAAGGGGTAGAAGCAAGGGAAGGGTGAACCTGCCATTCAGCCTGCCTGTGACCTGCTGCCCTGTCAGCCTCACCCCATGTCTGCCCGGCTCCTGAGTGCACAGGGTCAAAGTGAAGCTGCCTGCCAGGGTTGAGCAGAGCAGCCTGAGGCTTCCTCACAGCCCCACCCCAGAGCTCAGGCAACAGCAGCTCCTCTCCCACTTAGAGAACAATTAAGAAGGCCTGTGCGCAGATGTATGGGGGTGGGGGGTAGTGAGCGTGTCTCCACCTGCCAGGGGTGCTGGCCTTTCTCCACTGAACCCCTGCAACAGGCTCAGGATGCTTACACATCCCTCCATCTCCTGTCCCCCTCCCGGACTTTTGGAAGGGGGAACAACATGCCAATAAGCAAAAACTTGAACACAGGCTCTTGGGATGGGTGAGTGATAGTCCATTGCCCCATCCCTAGTCTAATCCAGAAGCCAGTTTTGCTGTTGGATCTTTGGCCCTGGTGGGTGGGTGTGGTGCTGACAGGAAGATGGGGAAGCCTGCGGGCCTTAGCTTCCCTGAAGCATCTGCAGGAGGCATCAAGTCTGCTCCTGGGCGGACCACTGGGCCTCAGTTCTTGGGAGAGCCCAGTCTTGTCCCTCTCCCACAGCACTGACCTTATTAGGCTCAGCAGGGGGGTCTGTGGGGCCCTGAATCTTCCTTCCCGGCCAGAGCCCAATCCTAGAAGCAGTTGGCTATGTTGGGAGCTGTCTCAGGGCAAAGTTGTCCAGATGTGGCAGGAGTCCCTGGTCGGGACTTGGCCTCTGTTCCCAGCAGTCGCCATGCTCCCAGTGTCCCAAGCCCAGCCTCCACCACCACCTGCCTGACACTGGGCAGATGTACAAGGGAAGGGTGCGTGTTGTGTTTCTGCCACCTGCGGGGCTGATCAAAGGAGCTGTGTTCTCAGCAGGCAGTAGGGCTGGAGGCAGGCTGAGCATTTGCAGGGGCAGATGGAGCAGCTGGACCTCCTCCATGAGAATTACAGCGATCCCTACTTCGCCCTTCCCTCTGGCACACAGGTTTCAGAGCTAGGAGCAGGTGGCCCTGTTTATGAGGATGGAGGCAAAATATCTCACCTCACAGGAGCAAAGGTCACATGGGTTAGAAGAGAGCTCATGCCCACTGGGCCCATCGGGCGTCTCAGGGTCCAATAACTTCCTTAGGCATGGCCCCCATTCTCAAGGCCATGTTTCCAGGGACTCTGGGCGTGATGGGTCCTCTCACCTAAGGCACAGGGCTACATCAGGCCTCTGAGCCTCAGGGCCCCTAAGCTTTCTGCCACAGCTGCTGGATGCAGGTCCTGTGCCTTTGGCTGGTGTGCCAGCTGTTTCCCCACAAGTAGCCACCACCCACCCCGAGAGTCACAGAAATTGTCCTGGCTCTTGTGGAGAATCTTGTTGCTGCCAAATAGGCCTCCACATGTAGTTAGGGAAGGCCCAAGCAGGCTGCCTAGATCTTTTCAGTGGCTCTGCTACTTATCCTTTACCTGCCTATTTTACCGACATGGTGACTCCCAGTTAAAGGGGCCATTTTGTTTGCCATCGAGGGGGAGGAAGGCAGGAGACTACACTTGTACCTCCTGTGTCACATGGCTCCTTGCACACCTTGCTGCATGACTGTCTCTGCGTTTCAGCCTGTGGGCCACCGTTGGCCTCTTGACTCGAGGGCTCTGCACTCTCCCTCTAACCTGGAGGGTGAATGACCACAGATCCCAGTTTCCCAGACCCAGGACCCAAACTGGGGAGGAATCAAAGTCAATGGTGATGTCCTCATCCCGCCCCGGGGGGCATTTTGGGGCACCCCCACTGTGTGGCCTGGGGCAAGTCTGCTGTTGTGGGAGCCCCGGAGAACGGGCAGGGCTTTAGGCCATCCTCCATGGGGCCAGGCTATTAAAGTGATCTTATCAAACTGCAGTTCCTGCTACAAAGAGAAAAATGGACGATTGAAGAGTGCTTGGTAGCTGGAGGGCCTTAAGGGGTGTGCGTGGTTTGGGACCAGCCCCGTAATGCCCTGCCTCGGTCTAGCTTTGGCCAGACAGGATGCTTTTGGCCTCTCCTTAAGGATGTTTCCAGTCTGGGGTTCCCTCCTTCAGGGCCAACACCCTCCCTCGTGCCACATTCTGAGGGGCAGGCAGGGCCCAGGCTGGGGCGTACACGTCTCTCCCCTTCCTGATGGCCAGAGCACCAGCTGCTCCCTGTGGAGAGCCTGGGCAGGGGGGGCGGGGGGGACGGCACAGAGGACAAAAGCCAGGCCCCCCCGGAGGCGTCGGGTGCATGGCCCTCCCTCTGAGCGGCTGCCATGTCCTAGGCCACGGAGGAGAAGGAGGAGATGGAGGAGCTGCAGGCCTACAACAGGCGGCTGCTGCACAACATCCTGCCCAAGGACGTGGCCGCCCACTTCCTGGCCCGTGAGCGGCGCAACGACGAGCTCTACTACCAGTCGTGCGAGTGTGTGGCCGTCATGTTCGCCTCCATCGCCAACTTCTCTGAGTTCTACGTGGAGCTGGAGGCCAACAATGAGGGCGTGGAGTGCCTGCGGCTGCTCAATGAGATCATTGCCGACTTTGACGAGGTACGGCTTGGGGGAGCTTGGGTTCCTGGAGTGGGAGGGATACTGGGGCACCTGAGGACATGCACCTTGCCTCCATTTCTTCCCCGAGCCTGTCACAGAGGAGGAAACAGGTTCACGGATGCGGCATGGCTTCCAGGCGGTGGGTGGCAGGGTGGGTGTTCCAGCCCCGGCTACTGGGGTTTGAAGTCTCAGCACCCTGGCTGTGCCCCACTGAGACCCTGCCCGGCTATCTCACTGACCCTGCCTGGCTGTCTCGCCAATCCTCCCCGTTCGCTGCTGCTCCTCTCATGCCCCCTAAGGCTGGGCAGGCCCCAGGCCGGGGCCCAGCTTTTGAGAGAGTCCAAGGAAGAAGGGACTCTCAGGCTAAAGGAGGAGGAAGGACAAAGATGCAAAGCCCTGAACAGTATGGACAGAAACACAAGTATGCACCTTCGCCAAGTCCCCAGTGTGTGCCAAGCGCTGGGTACACCGTGCCAGTAGGGCATTTTGGCCCTGGGAGCTCATTGAGTGTTGAGTATGAGGGGGCCAACCCAGTGGGAATGTAATGCCTGGGGTGAAGGATGATGGAGCTGGGACGGGACTGTGCTGGAAGCAGCCTATGAAGGTCCTAGGGCAGGGGGAAACAAAAGGTGGGTGAAATGGGTCTGGGCAGGCTCCTGGCTGGCAGGGCCTGGAGTTGGAAGAAGTGTATCTCTCTGGACAAAGACGAGGACATATCCCTGGGAGGGATGGGGATGTGAGCCCGAGAGGCGGGGAGATGGCCAGCAGCCCCTATTCGGGGCAAGAGGCTCTGGAATGACCAGGGAGCTGGCTTGGGGCTCCTGGTGCAGGGCAGATGGTAGCACCTGGCCACCTCACATGGGTGAGTACTGGAGGAGGCCTGCTCTGTTGGTCTTACACTGAGTTGGTGTGGAGATCGGCCCCCTGTGTGAACTTGGGGGGATGTGGGGGGCCACGCTGCTCCCTTCCCTGTAGACCTCAGTGCCCCAGCCGTGGTGGTGACCCAGGTTTTACCTCCTTCCATCCAGATCATCAGCGAGGATCGGTTTAGGCAGCTGGAAAAGATCAAGACCATTGGCAGCACCTACATGGCCGCCTCAGGCCTCAATGACTCTACGTACGACAAGGTGGGCAAGAGCCACATCAAAGCCCTGGCCGACTTTGCCATGAAGCTCATGGACCAAATGAAGTACATCAATGAACACTCCTTCAACAACTTCCAGATGAAGATTGGTGAGCTTGGCTTCCGGCCATTTGGGCCTGGGAAGAGCAGGTGGGGTGAAAAGCTCCACGTGGTGTGGCAGGACTGAAGAGAAGGGCTGTGGTGGGCGGTATCTAATGGACGGATGACATTGCTGTTTGGGAGCTTCTGCCGTGTTTGTGGTCCTGCGTCTCACACAACAGTGAGGCTTCATGCAACCCCCTGGTGACAGACCGTTTCTGTGATAAGAGGGAGTGCCCAGGGGCATGGAGACATGGTAGGAAATGTCTAGATAATGTCAGTTGAGCCAGGTGTGTTGGGAAAGGCTCTTGCCTGCAGAGGAGGGAGGACACTTCATGTGGGGAGCCAGCACAGCCGAAGTGGAGTGGCAGGGTTGGGGTGGGTAAGACTGGGAGGGTGGAAAGACTAGAGCAGACATGCCAGAAGTGAGACAGGGAGCCCAGGCAGAGGGCAGCGGCCTTGCCTCCTGGTGCTGGGTCATGGCGACAGCCCTACCCCAGCCTAGATACCCAGAGGGAGGATCACTTGGACAGAGAGGAGACTGTGGGTTAGGAGCTAGGTTCTAAGAACTGCAGTGCCCCTGAAAGAAACAGAGGAGGTGAGGAGTAAGGAGAGGGGGAGTGATGGTACATGGAGTCTGAATTGACGTGAAAACGTAAATGCCACTGAGAGGGATGATTAAAGAAAGGCCGCTGGCTGATGCAGGTCACTGTGCACTTGAAGAGGACGTTCCTGGTGACGGGCTTGCAGCAGCTGCCGGCTGGCTGGTTGGCTAGTACATAGGAGCAGTGCTGTGTGAACAGACCTCTGTGGTTGGGGTTAGCAGGCCCTTAATGGTAGTAGTGGAGTGGGAGCCACAGGGCCAAGCAGGGCCAAGCATGGCCTCAGGCCCAAAGGACCCTGAGTATCTAAGGGGAATGACAGTGAGTGTGAGCTCTGGTCTGAGCCCTGATGAACATGCTGACTTCGGTCCCCTGCAGGGCTCAACATCGGCCCCGTGGTGGCTGGGGTGATCGGGGCTCGCAAGCCTCAGTACGACATCTGGGGCAATACAGTGAACGTGGCCAGCCGCATGGACAGCACCGGTGTGCCTGACCGCATCCAGGTGAGCGCTGGAACATCCACCACCCACCTCAGCCACATGGCGGGCTTCTGTCTGATGCTGCGTGGGCTTTGAGCAGGCTGCCCACAGTTCCTAGTCAGAATTTCGCGGCCAAACTTGAAGGTAGTTAGGGCTGTGTCTTGGGAGCTTGAAAAACACAATTGTGTTTCAAGCCCTCAGGACCTTGGACGTATCTTCACGCCTGTGCGAAGCCCTCTACTGGCCACAGGAGGAATTGGGGGTATAGGTGGGAGCCACGGCTCATGTCAAGCCAGGAGTGCTACTGTCACAATCCATGCGCACGAGGAGACACAGAGATGGCTGCAGGGAGCAAGGTCTTGCCGAACGGAGCCCCCAGCACTCGGGGCCTGGTTCAGGCAAGGCCACTCGTCCCCCTGGGATGGTGCTCCCAACAGCTAAGGGGGCTGGCCAGAGACGCAGAGACTTTCACTCCTCTCTTTTGCAAGCTGGTGTTTGTCATGCCCAGGTCTGCCTCTCTCCAGCTGCTGTTGTTTTTCTCAGGCCTTCCTTGATTCCCTCTGCTTCAATCCGACAACAGTGAGGCCCTAGACCGGGCTCTCTTCCTGTACCCTCCAACCTCCAGTGCCCCGTAAGCCTGTGGGCAGATTACTTAGCTTCCCTGGTCTTTTTCCCATTTGACCTGTGCTCTCTTCAAGGCCCCTTGCTCACACTGACATTGCTTAAGTGTCCCTTAAATTCTCTCTCCTGTGGGACTTCTGAACAAAGGGTCAGCCCCCGCAAAGCCCTGGCCAGATCAACCAGGCCTGGCTGGTGTGTAGATGCTGTTGGAGGGACTGGGCCAAATGGCTTTCTCTCCCCTCCAACCCTATGCCAAGAGGAGAAAGGACAACAAGACGGAAGATGGAGAGAGAGAGGCACGTGTGTACAGAACTTCTGACCCCACCCATAGATGAGTGAAGGACTCTGCAATGACACAGTGGCCTGGCACCTCACCTTTGCATAGGGCATTCCCATTCTTGGAATACATGTGATCACACAGCAGTTCTCCTTCCAGCAGCCCAGCCAGGCGTGATAGCCAGGCGGGGCCAGGATCCTCAGCAGGGGTGTCGTAGGGTGTGCTCACATAGCTGTCAGGTCACCTTGCAAGACACACGCTTGCATTGCTGTTCTGGTCAGCCTTTCTCCTTCACCCAGCACTAGCGCAGTGATGACTGAAGCCACTGGGGAGTTCCCCTCTCTGTTCCAAAAGCTAAAGCAGATGGGCAGTCGGACACACAGCTGAATCCAGGCTCTGCCATTTGTTAGCAGTGGAACCTCAGGGAAGGGACTTAGGTTGTCTGAGCCTGAGATAAAAGTGCTTTCCTTAGGGCGCCTGGGTGGCTCGGTGGGTTAAGCCTCTGCCTTCGGCTCAGGTCATGATCTCAGGGTCCTGGGATCAAGTCCCGCATCGGGCTCTCTGCTCAGTAGGGAGCCTGCTTCCTCCTCTCTTTCTCTCTGTCTGCCTCTCTGCCTACTTGTGATCTGTCAAATAAATAAATAAAATCTTTTTTAAAAAGTGTTTTCCTTAGATTAAATGAGATAAGCAGTGGCTTTCTACCTGCCTGTGGTGGAGTGAGACGTGAGTGAGCACACTGGTCTTAAGCTCGCTCTCGATGGTGGCAGGGCCGGAATGCTATGGACATGCCCACGTCTGCTCACCTTCTGCACCTCTCACTGTGGACAGTGACAGGCAGTTCAGGGACCACAGGCCACGCTCTGAGCAGCACTGAAAGAGCACAGGTGAGCTACTGGCCACACTGCCTGGCACGGAGTAGGTGCTGCTGTTCTGGTTTCTAACAGGCAGTTCCAAGGATGAGCAGCTGTCAGTCCCCAGGAGCCCCTGCCCGGGAGGTGCTGCCCGCCCTGTTGGGGATAGTAAGGCAGAGCCACCAGACAACAGACTCACAGCTTAGCTTAACCACAGCCTATCCTGTCTCCTCCATTGCCTCCTCAGGTCACCACGGACATGTACCAGGTGCTGGCTGCCAACACTTACCAGCTGGAGTGCAGGGGTGTGGTCAAGGTCAAGGGCAAAGGCGAGATGATGACCTACTTCCTCAACGGGGGGCCCCCGCTCAGTTAGCAGCTGCTACCTGGTGATGCCAGGCAGCCTGGCCTCCAGAGAAACAGAAATGGCTTCTTTGTGCACCGGTGGGCAGGTGGAAGCCTGCGCTCTAGCCCACGTGGCCGCGCCAGTGAGATTTTCCACTTTGACTCCAGAAGCAGCTTCTGCCTTTGTGGGTAGGCAGCAGCGTCCGTCCCAGGCCCCAGGGTGCCAGCGTCCTGCGAGCACCAAGCTGACCAAAGATGTTTCCTCCGTAGAAGACTCCACTAGGCGTGATCTGAATCTCGAGTTTTCTAATGGGTGCCGCTGCTGCATGGGTGGAGCGGAGCTGCCGGAGCTCTTACGGTGTGGGGCAGCCCGGCATGTGACGACAGGGCTGAGGGGGAGGCCTCGGCCGAGGGCGGGTGGCTCGGCGGTGCGACTCTGGCCCCGGGAACCTAGAGGCCCCAGGGGTCCGGTTTCCTGTGTGAGCCTTTCAACTTCCGACAGAGGCCACGGCTCCTGCCCCATGGAGGGGCTTTCTGGCAGGAGTGTGGGCTGTGGCTGGACTGCGGCCTTCTCCACAGTCCTCCTCCCACACCTACACACGTAGCCAAGGCCTCTTCAAGGGGAACAGAGCGAATTGTGCGGGGGAGGTGAGAGGACTTGAGGCAAGGAGGGGTGGTTCTGAGAAAAAGAATATTTATTAAATAAAACAACTTTCTGTGCCCTTCTTTAGACTACGCTAGTTGTATGCGTATAAGACCCACAAGCAAACAAAGATGCCACTGGGGTGGGAGGGTGGGGATCCCAACTTGTCTTTTTTGTATTTTTGATTTTGTACTCTTGAAATCCTTGGAGATCTAACAAATATACCAAATTCTATATTTTGTAAATTATACTAGAAAACAGCTGTGCACAGCATTTGTACCATACGTACGTCCGTGTGTGTACTGGTGTAGGTGTGTGTGTTTGTGCTGTTGACCTGGTCACGTACAGGATGCCTGCTGCCCTCACTGCAGATGCGGCAGTTTTTGTTTTTTTCCAGCTCCACCCAGAACAGGGAGCGTATGTGCTTTTGCGGTGCCCTGCACGCGGAAGTGGGAAGATGTGTGCAAACATCACCGCATTCAACACAGCACTTCCCTTAAGTTAAATGCAAATGGAAACAAAACAAAAAGCTGTTTTCCCATCTCAGGCCCAGCTGGAACCAAGGGAAACGGCCCCAAGCCGCAGCACACCACTGTCTTGTCTCCTCTCGGTTCCCTGAGCTGTCAGCTGTTTGCTGCCTGGGGAGAGGCGGCTCTGAGAGCTCAGGGACAGCCACGGGCGCTCAGCTGGTGTGCGGGCGGTAGCAAGCCTTACCTGCCTGACCTCAGTTGGCTATCGTGCAGGCGGCTCTCCCAGAAAGAACGCCGCAGACTCGGGGCTAACGTGCAGCCCTCGGGTGTAGGGAGGGTGGCGGCTTTGCTCTCCATCTGCAGACCAGAGAAAAGGGGAGAGCCCAGCTTCAGCGTCCAAGGGGCAAAGTTAGCAGAAATTTTTTGTCTGGTTTTTGTTTTTTGGGGGGAGGGGGCAGTTAAATATATAGAAAAAAAATTTTTTTATACCCTACCAGGGTATAAAATGGATATGGGCATGAAAGCGAAAATGATCTATTATCAGAGATCTATTCAAACAGAACCCTTGGGTTCTGTGCCCAGATCTTTTTGTTGCTTCTCAGGGCAGAATTCTCTCCTCCAACACGAGCTTGCAGGAGGTGGGGTGCAGCTATATGCTGGCTGTGAAACAGGACTTTGACCCCCAGCCGCACCACATCTCCCTGGGCCCTAGCACTGGCCTCCCCTTTCTGCCCACCATCCCTCACCCCAGTGTGAACTCTGCTCTGAGAAGCAAAGCTTACAGACCCGAAACTGCCAGCCCAAGTTTGTTCATGCTTTTGCCGCTCCATCCTTGAGTTCTGCATTGCCACCCCCCACCCCCCGCATCTGTTGGGTGGGCTGGCTTTCTCCACGGTGGTGGTCTCAAGTCCCCTCCCCCTCAATAGTGCCCGCCAGTGGTGCCAGGTTTTAATTTTGCTTCCAACCTTAGTGACGTGTGTGTGCTGAGCTCCTCTGGTGGTTCCCCCCCCCACCCCCTGCCGTTGGTTATGGTCTCCTTGGCCTCTTGGGGGCCCATCCCTCCTATCTCAGCAGTGACTGTGACACCGTGCAGTGCTAGCTCTTCATTCCCTCCAAGGGTGTGCACTCTTTTTACTCCTGCTCTTGCAAAAACAGATACGATTATGATTTCCCATGGAAATTTAAAAGTCTATTTAAATAATTTAACTATTAAACACTTTCACTGGTAATGTGTGCTGGTCTGATTTGTGGCTTGGGCCATGGGCCTGGTTCCAGTCCGAAGAACAGTGCACTCAGCCCTTGGTGGGGCACTGGGGAGGGAGCCCCAGAAGGCAAAGACCTACCCTGAGTGGGGAACGGTTTGCTGCTACAGAGAGAATGTTGGCTAAGGGCCACAGTCATCATGGCAATCAGGGGAGAGAACATTCGTGTTCTTGGCAAGCGGTAGTTCACTGGACTGCAGAGCAGGTCCCAGGGTGCTGGAGGCGGAGGAATGAGGAAAGACACTAGGAGTGAAGGGGACAAGGGACCAAGGATGGTACCAGAAAAGATGCAGGGTTGAGGAGAAGATGTTTTAAAACCGGTGAGCCAACCTTGTTTCTATGCTAAAGGAAAGAAAGTTGCAAATACAAGAACACGGATCACGGAAAGGACCCAAGTAGCAGGGAGAGGAGGAGATGCTGGCTGGAGGCATACTGACTTGGCCTGGATAGCTAGTAGCCACGGCTGCCATTTAGTGGACAGTGTGTGTGCCGAGCACCGGGACAAGCACCATACAAACACCATACAAACTTCATTTGTTCCTCCTGGCCACCTCACGTCACTGACTGACTAACGGAAGTTGAATTATTTGCCTAAACTCACACAACTGGTAATTAAGTAAGATGAGATTCAAAGCAGGACTGTCTGCTAAGCTAATGCAGGTAACTTCAAGCGTGCCCAGCACGACTCTTACCTCGAGAGGAAAGGGAAGGTGGTAGAAAGGCAGTGCTTGCCTGCCACGCCCATCAAATGCAGGGTTCTATTTGGGTTCAGGCAATAAGGGCAGGGGGCGTGGTCAAGCAAAAATGAAGGAGCCAGTGAAAAAGACCTCACTGGGCTCATTGCAACAATGGCCACCCAGGGCAGAGATGTGGCTGTCCTGCTCATAGGCAGGGCCCCTGCTCCGAGGAAACGGGACAGCTTGGCAAGGATTCCACTGTCCATGGTGTGGGATGCAACTGTATAGAACTCATGTTCAACTCGGAGAGCTTTTCAGGCGAGGGTCCACCAATTAGAAAAGGAAACCAAATGAAAAGGCCAACCTGTAGGGGCTGATTAGACTAAGTTGGCAGGCCAGCTCCTGAAGAACCCCTATCCTGCTGTGATGAGTGCGGTCAGGCAGGCCCAGCAAACCGCAGGCACACCCAGTGCACACCAGGGCAGCCAGGGAAAGCAACTCAGAACTCCCAAGAGCCCTTCCGCTTCCATCTCCACTGAGCTCATTCCAGAGAACACATTTGTTTCTCCCTTATAGGTTTCACTTTTTGGCAAAAGTATATCCATACCTGCAATGTTAATTAGCAAAACTTACTAGCAAACACACCACTGATACGTGTAGTGAGTTCTGAACACCGCTCTAACATCCACTGACCGCAAAGGCCGTTAAAACCAAGACTGGACTTCAGCCAACATGGTGATGATTTGATTGTAGAGTGGGGTGAGCAACGTTTGTGGGAAGGCATGGTGAAGCTTGGTGCACCAAGAAAGCTGGAGCTACGTACTCACCAGGTAGTCATGTTAATTTAACACTTCCAAAAATGCAAATGCATTTACAGAACTTTTCCAAAAGCAAGCATCCCGAGTGGCGTGTAGTCAAATAAGCTGTGGTTTTTACATAATAAAAATTATTTTCCATAATGTTGCAACCTCACCACGAGTTGCTGATTAGCAGAAAGTGAGCCTCTAGAGCTTGGAAAAGATGCTGAGCCCATATCATTGCAGGCCAGGAAAGCATTTTTGGGCACTGGCATGGCCAATACTCAGAAGTAGTGCTGAGCACATTGTTGCTGCCGCCTGAACACAAGTAGGCAGTGCAGGGACACACACTGAAAACCCACAGCTTCTGAGCTTGCCTAAATCCAAATAATTGCTCACCGAAGACAATGAATGCTGTACACGTTGTCTCCCGAGGGAAGGGACAGTGTGGGCCATGCTGGCCATGAAAAGGTAGCACTTAGCACAGGGAGCAGGAGGAGAGTTGGAAGGGCCGGTGTTACCTGTGGGGATGGGGTCGGGGAGGGCACAACAGACCAGGGAATACCATACCCCCATACCCTGCCTTTGAGCAAACTTGATCCAAAGTGTATAAAGAGCTTTCCCATACATGTTCTCACTTGTGCTTGCCCCCAGGCCCAGGAGATGGTGGGAGAGAGGACTGACGCATCTCCTGGGCTGCTCTGATCCTCCAGGGCGAAAGCTATCGCTCTAGCCCACAGGCATTTCTGTCCACTGTGCCCATCCGGTTGGACACTGATGACCTGACAGGGACAGAGGGCCTGCCACTTCTCAAGGTTGACAACAGATGAGCTGAGGCCCACTTACTGTAGTACTATAGCTTTTCTTTGCCTTTCCGATTTTCAAAAAAGCCCTTCAGTGGGTGTTTTTTTCTCCTGTCTTGGAACAAGAAATATGGTATTTGCTGTCCTCTTCTTGCCTCTTTCCTTCCCACCTGTAAGGGTCACTGCTTCTCACGACAGACACAAAAACAAAGCCAAATCAGGCCATTGGAATGGCTGACCTCCGAGGCTCCTTTCTCCTCTGGCATTCTCAGATTCTAAATATTTGTGTGACCCTGTCCAATCTTCAAGCGCCAGACCCCAAGCATGGCATGAACATAGACACAATCAAATCAGGATTTTAAGATTTTAAAGTCGAAGACAGACAAATGAGATGAAAAGCATCACACCAAGGGGGGGTCTGTGGGAAGATCACCTTCAAACCAAAGTTGCCAAAGCCTTTGCTTGGACCTCCTCCGGATATGCCAGCAGCAGCAGCAGCAGCACCTCGGCGGTGTGGCCGGAGTCCTTTCCTACCAAGGGCTCTGCTCCATGCAGTGCAGAGGGTTAGGTGACCAGTCTCGGTTCACAGACCCAGCAGAAAGTCCAGCAGATGGAATGAAGGGGAAAGACAATAAGGAGAAAGAAGAGGATTGTCTAGGGCTGAGGGTGAAGTAGGCATCCTGTCCCAACTGGCTTGCCAGCCCTAAACCTCACCCACCCGTCAGTTTCTAGTGAACGGAATGGAGCCACCCCATCACTGGCTGACTGCCTCTGCATCCTCAAGGCCCGCTCCCTATTGCTGGTCTATTAGGCCGGGGAATTAAAGAGTTCTCACTGGAGTCCATGAAGGACCTCATCACTTATTCTCCCCCTCAGCCAATTTCTAATTTAGACCTGCCTGAAATCTCTGGTTTGTCAGCATCTCTATTTTCCAAGTTTGCAAAATTTGCTTCTGTGCTTTGACTTTGTCAGTTAGCTAGAGTGGCACTTCTTGGCTCATGTGGGGTTTTTTGGGGGGTGGGGGGGGTTGCATTTTGCATCAGACTAATCT